GAATAATGCACTATACCCCATCTATCTCAGTCCTGTTGAAATGTTAATATACAGGTATAAGTAGTAGAACACTGCGGTGGTATACCCCACCTAGTTCAACCCAGGGTTAATTAGGTGTCGATGGAAGAAAAACTCAAAGCCCAACCATATATTTCAACTTTATTGCAATTGATGACTAACATACAGTGACATAAACATCAGGTAAAGCAAAAATTGACAATGGACAAAGGACAATGAAATATTATTATTTGACAACGGATTCAGTTGTAAAATGTAAAGATTGAAACATCCCTGCAAAATGTTGGCGAGACAGCTGCCTCGTCTGCCCAACAAGTGGCAACGCCCATGCCAGGCTTGTTTAAACGTCCATGTCTGGCTAGTGGAAACGTCCATGCCTGGCTAGTGGCAAAGCCCTTGCCTGGCTTGTTGAAATACCCATGCCTGGCTAGTGGAAACGCCAATGTATGACTAGTGGAAACGCCAATGTCTGGCTATTGGAAACGCTCATGCCTGACTAGTGATAACGCCCATGTCTGGCTAGGGAAACGCCCAGGACTACCTTATGGAAACGCCAATGCATTGCTAGTGGCAGCCCCCATGCCTGGCTAGTGGAACCGCATATGCCTGGTTACTGGAAACGCTCATGCCTGGCTAGTGGCAATGCTCATGTCTGGCTAATGGCAACACCAATGCCTGGCTAATGGCAACGCACATGCCAGACTAGTGGAAACGCCCATGTCTGGCGAGTAGCAACGCTCTAGCCTGGCTAGTGGGAACGCCCATTCCTGTCTAGTGGCAAAGCCAATGCCTGGCTAGTGACAACGCCCATGCCTGGCTAGTGGAAACGCCCATGCCCGACAAGTGGCAGAGCCCATGCCTGGCTAGTGGAAACGCCAATACCTGCCTAGTGGCAACGCTCATGCCTGGCTATTGGCAACACCAATGCCTGGCACTGAAGTGGAAACGTACATGCCTGATTAGTGGAAACGCCCATGCCTGGCTAGTGGCACGTTCATGCCTGGCCAGTGGCAACGCCCATGCTGGCTGGAGGAAACGCCAATGTCTGGCTTATGGCAACACGCATGCCTGGCTAGTGAAAACGCCCATTCCAGGCTAGTGGCAGCACTAATGCATTTTAGCACGAAACCCCAAGAAACCCCAATATTTATTAACTACTAGACATTTCCCTTTGTTTTCCTGTCAATGTTGAAGAATCCAGATTCAATACAATTAAATAAAAGTCGTGCTATTATGTCTTCAATCAGACTGTAATTAAATTGAATTTATTTTAGATGGCAGCATTATTTGTATAAGTGTCCCATCCTTGACATGCAAATATAAATAATATATTGTGAAATAGTTCATTGAAATTATTTTCAATTGATCTTTGCATTTGCGTGTTGAGTACAATTACTTCATCCTACCATTTGACACAAGCCAAGGCAAGAAACTTCTTTATATGACAACGAGACCCAGAATTTACTGAACACAGCTGGCTCAAACTTCTGTCAGCTCGGTAGAGTAACCCAGAGGTAACCGATAGGGGGGAAGGTTGCAATTAGGTCTTTGTAATTCTTGTTTGTATGTGGACTTTTGTCAAATTGTGGATTTGTCTGGCTTAAGATGCATCTAATCTGGCCCGGTAGCTCAGTTGGTTAGAGCGTCGTGCTAATAACGCGAATGTCGTGGGTTCGATCCCCATCCGGGCCATACTTTTGGTTTGACTCCATAATGAGCGACTTGGGTATCATTCGCTTATTCAACTGCTGACTGACGAATTAACCCCTATTTTATGGCCAACTCACTTAAATATGAATAGTCACACATTCTCGAATTTCAGGTCCATTTCGAGGTTTGGACTTTTGAAGAAATACAAAATCCATTGTTTTACATAGGAATGTCGATTTTCAAAAATTCATCAGATTTATCAATTTTTGACATATTGTAATTGAGGAAAAAATTTGGAAAATTTGGAGGCATTGGAAATTAAGTCAAGTTACATTCCCATAAATATTATAAGTATTTTCTTCACAGGTTATGTAAATGAAAATTCCAACATAAAGAGGCTTTAACACGTAGTTCAATGAGGGAGCTAAGGTTGCCAAACTTATGGAGGGGAGTGTACCATTTGACACAGGCCAAGGCAAGAAACTTCTTATTCTTAGAATATGAAAAATTATGTTTGCACTTTTGTTAAATTGTAAAGTTGTCTGGCCTGGAATGCATCTAAGCCGGCCCGGTAGCTCAGTTGGTTAGAGCGTCGTGCTAATAACGCGAATGTCGTGGGTTCGATCCCCATCCGGGCCATATTTTTGGTTCGACTCCATAATTAGTTTGCTCAACTGCCGGCTGTCGGCTGACGAGTTAACCGTTATTTCATGGCCAGTACCTGAAACTTTTCATATCCATAGGCCTATTAGAATTAGGGTTTCCTACAATAGCGGTTAATCCGTCAGCCGACAGCCTGCTTTTGAATTCGCGAATGCTCGCTTACATGTAGAGATTCACTAGTTTTGTCCAAATGTTTCAATTTGCATCAGATTATGAAAGGTTTGGGGGATTATTCTATGATTTCAACACTTCGATCATTATTATAATGTTGTCCAACCATTACGTTTCATTAATTCAAATGGTGAATATTCAACTTAATTAAAAATCATCTCTGGCACATCTAAGATACCCCGATCACCCTACATAAGTCGCATTAACAACAACAATATGCCAACCCGTTACCAAGGCAACTACCCTAGACGTGACAACATACCTGGATAAAACCTGTTCGTATGCCATAAGTCGTAATCGTTATTGTATACATCCAATGCAATAGTACCACCTTTTGCCAATAATTGACACTTATTGTTAGTATTCGATTTTCGGAAATTGAATTGAGTGCAGTCCTTCGTTGATGCGCAATAAGTTGCGCAGTCGTCAACTGTCATGAATGGCATCTCATGTGTTACATTTAGAGCCATGGTGTTTCTATATGCATAGAATGCGTGTCCAAATGAAAAGTCCAACAAGGTGTGGATATATGTTAACCCGAAAATGATCGAACAGACACAGTTCTTAATCATTTTTATAAATTTTCAGAATGCTTTGTGTACAGAGTTATTGAATCTTTCCTTATGTCTTGGTACCGATGTTCATCCGGATTATTTGAAATCGCCACCGTATGATTTCTAATTCCCAAACACCAATGTACCTCTTGATCTTTTGATGAGTGATTGCGAAATCAACAACATAAGTATCCTCATGCCAAAATAACGTTGCAGCTCGCAGTTCATTTGCTAAATCTGTTAGACCAGTTCTGTGTTTTGAATATGATCGGCTGAAATCGAAGACGTTGCTAATGATCTAGATCTCCAGATCAAATTAATGAAGTGCACGAGCCCGAGGAATGGGGAAAGCATATAAAAACACAATGTAAGATTGCTGGTATTGAAACATTCCTTTTAACAACACGAACATTGACCATTGTATTTCCTGCAATTAAACGCAATTTGCAACATTGTTCTATTACTTTAACACCATAATTCACTGGTGACACTGACACCAATCGAATTAATTAGATTCGAATGTAATTATGTTTTAATTGTCATTATAATATTACTTACATTCTTTCTCAATTTTGAATAACAAGTTATAATTATGTTAAAGTGCCCGATAAACTATAAAATGCGCATGCGTCCAGGTGTTGATAAACTATAAATAGCGAAAATCCAGGGTTTGTCACCACAAGGTAAGCCAGGGCGTGTTGAGAGAACAGCTAGTGTTGATATTGAATTTACATGTAGCCAGATAAGTTTCCTTATTGAAATTACATATGGTTATTAGCAATACTTTGTAGGTGCTAAATAATAAAATATTTAGAGTATATATGAGAGAAATTGACCATTTCGAAGCTGTTGAAAAGTTTGTGGCTCTCGGCTACACCGGGGAATTTACTTCCATGAGTACACACATAAATGTGGGGCTCCCCAAGAGGTACGCGACAAGGTGACCTGGCATCAAATGTGCGACTAAATGCTACTATCAAGAAGATAAAATAACGAATACGACAATAAGTTATTGCATGTGACAATTCCGAGCATTCATCTCACTGAAGTATTTTGAAGTGAAAATAAGATTTTTGTTTTGATACATGGATTCAGATGAACGTAACTTTATTCTGACAACTAATCAAAACTGAACAAAATTGATTGTACGTAACAGACAATTTCAATTGTTTTACAATGTTTTGATTGGCTAAACGAATGAAACCAACAAATTATGACATGTAAAATGACAATTTTGAAATGTAAAATTTAAAAGTGACAAACACAACCTCCCTATCCACTCTTTGGGAGCCCTACTAATATGTACATGCAGCAGTGGTAGTGTACAGCTTATTACCACACTACTGGGCTTTGTATTCTAAAGCCTGTTGCTTGTAATAACACTGTTCACTCAACGTATGTTTTGTGTGTGGGCAGTCAACGATAATCATTGTTTCATCCCGGTTATATGACCTCGGCAATTATAACAAAACCGTACTAAACGAAAAACGCAAATAAGAGAAAGCTTTCACACACATATAAAAAATTACTTGGGACGATGGAAGTTAACCCCCCTCCCCCTTGGACAGCTATATGTATATTTCCTACTTGTTGGAAACATCAATGGACGTAGGCTGTTCCAAAAGGATGTACAGGTTGCTATACTTTGGGAGGGGAGTGTATATGTAATGAGTGATTAAACTAAAACCTAGGATGAATCTTAGACTAAAACATTCTATTTCCGTTCTTTTTAAATCGTTGTACAACTTCTCTCTTTTCTGATTCTGCAAACTTTCCTGCTTCAACCATATTTGGTGCAGATCTGTCCCAGGCCCACTCTTTGTCAGGTTGCATCCAATTAGGTCCATACTCGGCTTCTATAATAGCTTGAGTGTTACATGGCACAAGGTAGAGATCACTGAATAACTCAGCGGAACAGAGGGGTATATCTCGAGGATAAATCCATCACACTTTTTCTAGTGTCTTAGAACGCAAACCACTGATCCACGCGTACTTGGTCTCTTTATAGTGGAAGAATATATCCAACTTGATACCGAATCCTAGAACTACCAACTCAAAGCCATCTTTCGGCTGAAAGGTAAAACGGAACTTGAATCGAAAGTGATTAGTTTCATTTCAGTACAAATGCCTATAATAGCAGGGTTAAGATCAACTTATTAATTTGGGCTTTTGAAAATCAATCTCGGCCTCTATCAAATCCCTTAGCATAGGATTTGATCAGATTAACCAAATCAGAAACCGACCATAGTAAAGTTCTGACAATAACCTGGTCGTTTAAGCCCAACATATACTAACTACTTGTCCCATCGAGTCCCACGATGTCCCATGAGACCTCGTTATCCTTGCCCCTTGGAGTCCCACTTTGCCCTATCGAGTTCCATATTTTCATTCTCGGTATGGCTTCGTGGGACTCGATCGGGGACTCGATGGGGCATGATTGCGCAAAGTTCCGCGGACTACCACGAAATACCATGAAGTGCCACGGAGTCTCATGGGGCAAAACCTCAAGGTCCAAAGAAGTCCGACGAAGTCCCATGCAATGTTGATCCTGTGGAGGTCCCCCGGGAGGTCCCACTCCCACAGTGCTCCATTGGTGTATGTTGGGTTTTACTCTCACCTTGCCATAGCGGTGCGTGATTCTGATTGGTTGCCCCGGGCGATGAAGAAGTTTTTCTAGGTCAGGATTAAATTCCGTGATCCATGTCCCAACATCCACATCAGTGGTGTGTGCGATGAAACCACACTGTCTGTACCAACCTACAAAACGTCAAAATGTTAGTACGAATGTACAAATAAAGCTAAACTGTTTGTACCATAGTAAGAAGTATTTCTAGTTCAGGATTAAATTCCGTGATCCATGTCCCAACATCTACATCAGTAGTGTGTGCGATGTAACCACACTGTCTGTACCAACCTACAAAACGTCAAAATGTTAGTACGAATGTACAAATAAAGCTAAACTGTTTGTACCATAGTACCAACCTACAAATGTCTGTCTGTACACACTGTCACGCTGTCTGTACCATTCTAAAAATAAAGCCACACTGTCGGTACCATCCTATAATTCAGTCATATTGTCCGTGTCCTTCTAAACCACCATCTGTACCATCTTTAAATAAAAACATATTATTCTATTACATTAATAAAAAAATTAGTACCGTGGGTACTGGGCTCACATGGTGTTGCTCAAAAGTGAAAATAAAAAGACGGGTATAATTTTTTGCAGATTTTTTGTGACAAAATTATTTCATACAACTACTCTTTACAAAGACATGGCTTTTTACAATGCAGGACACCTGAACTTATTTGTAAAGCTAGGAAATGGGCCAAAGGTGAATTTCCCGAGACAAAAATGGTGGCCATTTTGAAATTAGGCAAGATTTTGAAGGAGTCACAAGTTTTTTTTCTTTATTGATGTTGAACAAAATTATTTTAAATCAGGAATCCTATCTACAGATGATTTAAAAAGTGTTGACAGAGGTTTAAAACTTGCCACTTTTTTGGACTGACTGAGAGACAGATGGACGAATCAATGTTAACTAAAATGGCTGAAAATAAAAAAAAACTGATATAATATTTTGCCGATTTTTTGTAACAAAATTATTTCATACAACTACTCTTTACAGTGACATGGCTTTTTACAATGCAGGACAGCTGAAATTATTTGTAAAGCTAGGAAATGGGCCAAAATTAAATTTCGCGAGACAAGAATGGTGACCATTTTGAAAATAGGCGAGCTTTTGAACCAAGAGTCATAGGAGAGTTTTTTGTATTGATGTTGAACAAAATTAACTTAAAACAGGAATCCTATCGACAGAGGGTTTAAGGCAAATGGTCCAAAAGTGGATTTTGCGAGACAGATGGACAAATCAATGTTAACTAAAATGGCTGAAAATAAAAAAATGGATGTAATTTTTTGCTGATTTTTCGTAACAAAATTATTTCATACATCTACTCTTTACATTGACATGGATTTTTACAATGTAGGACACTTGAAATTATTTGTAAAGCTAGGAAATAGGTCAAAAGTGAATTTCGCGAGACAAAAATGGCGGCCATTTTGAAAATAGGCGAGCTTTTGAGCCAGGAGTCATAGGGGAGTTTTCTGTATTGATGTTGAACAGAAATAACTTAAAACAGGAATCCTATCGACAGAGGTTTTAAAACGTGCCACCGTTGTTGACGGAAAAGTGGATTTCACAAGTCAGATGGACAAATCAATGTTAACTAAAATGGCTGAAAATAAAAAAATAGATATAATTTTTCGCTGATTTTTCGTAACAAAATTATTTCATATATCTACTCTTTACATTGACACAGATTTTTACAATGTAGGACACCTGAAATTATTTGTTAAGCTAGAAAATGGGTCAAAAGTGAATTTCGCGAGACAAAAATGGCGGCCATATAATATTTTGCCGATTTTTTGTAACAAAATTATTTCATACAACTACTCTTTACAGTGACATGGCTTTTTACAATGCAGGACAGCTGAAATTATTTGTAAAGCTAGGAAATGGGCCAAAAGTGAATTTCGCGAGACAAGAACGGTGACCATTTTGAAAATAGGCGAGCTTTTGAACCAAGAGTCATAGGAGAGTTTTTTGTATTGATGTTGAACAAAATTAACTTAAAACAGGAATCCTATCGACAGAGGGTTTAAGGCAAATGGTCCAAAAGTGGATTTTGCGAGACAGATGGACAAATCAATGTTAACTAAAATGGCTGAAAATAAAAAAAATGGATATAATTTTTTGCTGATTTTTCGTAACAAAATTATTTCATACATCTACTCTTTACATTGACATGGATTTTTACAATGTAGGACACTTGAAATTATTTGTAAAGCTAGGAAATAGGTCAAAAGTGAATTTCGCGAGACAAAAATGGCGGCCATTTTGAAAATAGGCGAGCTTTTGAGACAGGAGTCATAGGGGAGTTTTCTGTATTGATGTTGAACAGAAATAACTTAAAACAGGAATCCTATCGACAGAGGTTTTAAAACGTGCCACTGTTGTTGACGGAAAAGTGGATTTCACAAGTCAGATGGACAAATCAATGTTAACTAAAATGGCTGAAAATAAAAAAATAGATATAATTTTTCGCTGATTTTTCGTAACAAAATTATTTCATATATCTACTCTTTACATTGACACAGATTTTTACAATGTAGGACACCTGAAATTATTTGTTAAGCTAGAAAATGGGTCAAAAGTGAATTTCGCGAGACAAAAATGGCGGCCATATAATATTTTGCCGATTTTTCGTAACAAAATTATTTCATACAACTACTCTTTACAGTGACATGGCTTTTTACAATGCAGGACAGCTGAAATTATTTGTAAAGCTAGGAAATGGGCCAAAAGTGAATTTCGCGAGACAAGAATGGTGACCATTTTGAAAATAGGCGAGCTTTTGAACCAAGAGTCATAGGAGAGTTTTTTGTATTGATGTTGAACAAAATTAACTTAAAACAGGAATCCTATCGACAGAGGGTTTAAGGCAAATGGTCCAAAAGTGGATTTTGCGAGACAGATGGACAAATCAATGTTAACTAAAATGGCTGAAAATAAAAAAAATGGATATAATTTTTTGCTGATTTTTCGTAACAAAATTATTTCATACTTCTACTCTTTACATTAACATGGATTTTTACAATGTAGGACACTTGAAATTATTTGTAAAGCTAGGAAATAGGTCAAAAGTGAATTTCGCGAGACAAAAATGGCGGCCATTTTGAAAATAGGCGAGCTTTTGAGCCAGGAGTCATAGGGGAGTTTTCTGTATTGATGTTGAACAGAAATAACTTAAAACAGGAATCCTATCGACAGAGGTTTTAAAACGTGCCACTGTTGTTGACGGAAAAGTGGATTTCACAAGTCAGATGGACAAATCAATGTTAACTAAAATGGCTGAAATTAAAAAAATAGATATAATTTTTCGCTGATTTTTCGTAACAAAATTATTTCATATATCTACTCTTTACATTGACACAGATTTTTACAATGTAGGACACCTGAAATTATTTGTAAAGCTAGAAAATTGGTCAAAAGTGAATTTCGCGAGACAAAAATGGCGGCCATTTTGAAAATAGGCGAGCTTTTGAACCAGGAGTCATAGGGGAGTTTTCTGTATTGATGTTGAACAGAAATAACTTAAAACAGGAATCCTATCGACAGAGGTTATAAAACGTGCCAGTCAAAAGTGAATTTCGCGAGACAAAAATGGCGGCCATTTTGAAAATAGGCGAGCTTTTGAACCAGGAGTCATAGGGGAGTTTTCTGTATTGATGTTGAACAGAAATAACTTAAAACAGGAATCCTATCAACAGAGGTTTTAAAACGTGCCACTATTGTTGACGGACAGACAGACAGACAGACGGACGGACGGACAGACAGACGGACAAGTGAGCGATTGCAAAAGCTCACCATGTGAGCTAACGAGGTCGTCTTTAACTTCCTACATATCCTCGCTGTTAGTTACATCAGACACATAAAATCACTATGTCTGTACCATTCTACATATAATGCCTTATTATTTAATTAATGTGTATTGTTACTCTGACGTACCTAATAGCGTTCCAGAAGTCAACCAAAACTCCATGCCAACTTTATCAAACACATCTTGTGTGGCTCGCAATATCTTCCGCGCCTTATTAGCAGCTCTGTTTGCTTTCACTATGGCCGCTTTTGACAGTTTATTGGCCGAGTTAAATTGATCAGCTCTTGTCTGGTTACAAGGGATAAACTTGGAATGTTCTAAACTGGAGAGATACTTGGAGGTAGATGCTGGTACATACAACCCAGGGATGGCACTCTTAGTCACAGCAAGACTGAAAATATTACAAGCGATAAACTTGAAATGTTCTAAACTGGAGAGATACTTTGAGGTAGATGCTGGTACATACAACCCAGGGATGGCACTCTTAGTCACAGCAAGACTGAAAATATTACAAGCGATAAACTTGGAATGTTCTAAACTGGATAGATACTTTGAGGTAGATGCTGGTACATACAACCCAGGGATGGCACTCTTAGTCACAGCAAGACTGAAAATATTACAAGCGATAAACTTGGAATGTTCTAAACTGGAGAGATACTTGGAGGTAGATGCTTGTACATACAACCCAGGGATGGCACTCTTAGTCACAGCAAGACTGAAAATATTACAAGCGATAAACTTGGAATGTTCTAAACTGGAGAGATACTTGGAAGTTGATGCTGGTACATACAACCCAGGGATGGCACTCTTAGTCACAGCAAGACTGAAAATATTACAAGCGATAAACTTGGAATGTTCTAAACTGGAGAGATACTTGGAGGTAGATGCTGATACATACAACCCAGGGATGGCACTCTTAGTCACAGCAAGACTGAAAATATTACAAGCGATAAACTTGGAATGTTCTAAACTGGATAGATACTTTGAGGTAGATGCTGGTACATACAACCCAGGGATGGCACTCTTAGTCACAGCAAGACTGAAAATATTACAAGCGATAAACTTGGAATGTTCTAAACTGGAGAGATACTTGGAAGTAGATGCTGGTACATACAACCCAGGGATGGCACTCTTAGTCACAGCAAGACTGAAAATATTACAAGCGATAAACTTGAAATGTTCTAAACTGGAGAGATACTTTGAGGTAGATGCTGGTACATACAACCCAGGGATGGCACTCTTAGTCACAGCAAGACTGAAAATATTACAAGCGATAAACTTGGAATGTTCTAAACTGGAGAGATACTTGGAGGTAGATGCTTGTACATACAACCCAGGGATGGCACTCTTAGTCACAGCAAGACTGAAAATATTACAAGCGATAAACTTGGAATGTTCTAAACTGGATAGATACTTTGAGGTAGATGCTGGTACATACAACCCAGGGATGGCACTCTTAGTCACAGTAAGACTGAAAATATTACAAGCGATAAACTTGAAATGTTCTAAACTGGATAGATACTTGGAGGTAGATGCTGGTACATACAATCCAGGGATGACACTCTTAGTTATAGTAAGACTGGAAATATTGGGAAAGTAGAAATCCTAGCCTTGCCCAAGTCGGTATTTTTTACTTATCTGATCTTGAATTATTACCGCCTTGTACAATCCAATACACCTGCACTGATATTATGCAGAGTTATTCAACGGTTTCGAGATTTCCATAATACGCTATCAGGGGTATCGCGAAACCTTATTGATTAACAGATATACGCGTGGACACGACGTGTGACTTCAGGCTGATTGACCAATCAAAACGTTATCAGGTTGACCTGCATAAGCAAAGCAATCTTCCCGATTTGAAATTCAATGATCTGATCGATCGTTTTTTTAGAGTTACAATATATTATGTAATTAAATGTACATAGGAAATATAAGAGTCATTAATATAAATTAAATCATGCAATAGATTTAAAACTGATTTGGCGATGAAAATACAAGACCGAGTCCAATGTAGCGGGTCATGTAGTCGATCACTGATTGAATCTCAGCCTACATGTTCATTTGAATTCAGCGATCGTTTCAACGTTTATTGTTGAAATCTTCTCACCTCCGGTTACCGATCGATGCTCCGGCATCCACTAAACTCTGATTGATATTTATCTGATAAAATATTTGTATTTCCATGATGAATTCATGCAAGATTTGTTCGTGAAAAGTCCCGGCGAAAAGTAAAAAGTGTACTTGTTTTTGACCGTGCATAATAATGAGCTAACGCTGCAGGATCGTTGTTGATTGGTCAAATTTTACCGACATAAACATTGAGTCGGTAAAGCACATGGCTTTCTCTTTGGTACAAGGCGGTCATAATAGAAATCAAGATAGTAAAAGAGACCGACTTGGGCAAGGCTATAGAAATCCCTGAATGCAACTTATTGTCAGTTTTTTCTAAAGGACTAGTATTTAGATGGCAAGAGATTTTGGACAGCTGTATTTTTGGTCATGGGTATTTCCCGACCATACAATGAACTATATTAAAACAATATCTTGACTTCAACAAAAGTGCATGAAAAAAAATAAAAATCTCATTTTAATAATGAGATTAGCCATGGATTAGTAACCCACCTCCTCACTTTTTCAATAATGTTGACCTTATATTGAAAAAGAGGACCGTGATTTTCAAAGTTTCTGTGCAAAATTAGATTGCAACATTAGTTATAAATTAGCGAGCAAACATTTATCATTACAGCCAGTTAGCAGGCTAAGAAGCAACTGAAGGGAGCATAGACCAGAACACGTGTCTGGGAATGACATCTGTCATAGATAAGGCCAGCCCCCTTGACAAATGCTTTGTAGGTTTAATGTTAGAGGCTGGCCCTATCTGAGACGATCTGTTGCTGCATAATTTAAATCAAGTTTAATTAATTAAACTTACAAGTAATCTCATATATAGGAAAATTGGATTGATATACTATCTTCAACACAAATAGATGGCAACACAGTGTCATAATATCTGGTGTTATATTTGGATCTCATGTTTTGTACTCATAGTGTCAGCTACTGAATGCAGTTTATTCATACAGGATTATATGGCATTGTGACTTGCAAACACTTGAGTAGTATTATACCCAACAGCATTTATATAGAAGGTATAAGAAAATGTTTGAAGGATACATGCTCATAAAAGTCATGCTCATAGTAATTTGAGTAATGGCTGATGTTTGAATGGGTTTTTTTTTCTCCAGCACTTCACATTACCTTGACATTATATCCTTTATGTAACCCAATCCCAAAAGAGGGGTGTATAAATTTAAGAATCTGGCAAACTTCATTACACTTTCATTTGGTTGGGATATAGCGAGGTTTTTATTACTCCAGTCTTATTCGATATAATCATATAAATATGGTGAGGTAGAATTGCTAATTATAAATTCCATTCAAAATGGGTTAGTACAAAACATGGCACCGTGTCATGGCACAGGTACACCCTATGGCATAGGCTACGGCACCCCCTATGCCATACTGTAGGCACTAAAACACTATTACGAGTCAAATTCTTGCATATTTATGTAGATTATGATTACCCTTACAAATGTCTACCCTTCCAAACATTGTTCTTGAGCCTCTTACTAAAGTTATAATATTATCTTTCTTGGCATAGTTTGCCATGAATGAACATTTGTAAATCTGAATCAAGTTACAGACGTATGTAGTACGTACTCAAGGACCCATTCTCTCTTTGCCCAAAAACAAAACTTTCGTAAGAGGATCAAGAACAAAAATAATCGAAATAAATCTGAATTAGTATTCAAGAGCCAATGACACAGGGGTGCCATGGCTTAGTGGCTTAGTGCCATGTTTTGTACTAATCCCATTTTAGAGGCTTTTCAGTCTATTCTTATTTTCTAATCAAAATACGGGTGTTTGTGATTCATTTCTGGAAATGTTAAGAATATAAATTGAAACGAAACACAATTAGTTGAAACGGTGTAAGAGGCGAAGATACAGGGCGAGCCAATAAAGGTAACCAAAAAATGTTTGCTAATAACTCAGTCATTCAGCATGGGTTTAAAATCATATTTTGCACAATTAAACCTTGTTCAATTTCAGTTCATTATACATTTAATTCTCAATTATATTGCAGTTAAAAGTTACATAGGTCAATCCCTTGCGCAATGTGCATTACAGGCTAGCGTTTTGAAATGAATATAGATCAAATTAATTAACTCGTTGAGTGAGTTATACTTACAAATGTCCCAACTGGTTGCCTACACTCAATGGTGAAAAGTAAATCAGAATAAATTGGGTTAAAACCTTGGTCAATGTTCTTTCATTCTACTAAGTGTCATTGGTCTATCTATTGTAGTCACGATTTTATGGTTATTTACAAAACATGGTCAAAATGCCGAAATGTGTCTCACTGACTGGACATAAATCCCACCAGAGTTTTATCTTTGGGCATATTTTCTACACTAACTTCCCTTGAAACATAGAAACAAGAGATAAGAAGGAAGATAAGAGCCATAACATAAGATGTTTATGAGCGTGTTGTGTACAACTAAGCCCAAAACGTTCAAGTTGGTCTTCAAACATGAATTCCATATTTTGTGGCATGTTTTGTTAAATAGCCATAAAATTTTAACCCCTAGAGATAGACCATTAAAACTTGGTAGAACTAGAATGACAATATATTGGACAAGGCCTAATTGTGCCAAATGTGACACTAAACCTGATTTATTAATATTTGTTAGGGTTACCTTTTTTGGCTCACCCTGTACATACAATTTACAATTTAATCAGCAACATAGATCAATGATTATGTCAATGTACCATACCATACATGTAAAATACTTTTGTGAAGTATATTGAAAAGTAAAACAATGAAAATAAGGAATGTGCTCCTTATTTCTGTGAGACTTTAGTAAGTGTATATATTTGCCAGTGGAGTCTCAGTACTACAAAATCTGACTGAGTCTTGAAAACTTCAATAGGACAACAGAATCACATACTCGTAAATTTGAATGGGTCATTTTATTTTTCATTGGTATCTAATGAGACTCCTCAATTGAACTTTCCCCAGAGTAGCTCTTGTGGTATTACAATGTGAGAGTAACTCATGCGGTATTGCAATGTCAGAGTAGCTCTTGTGATATTACAATGTAGAGAAATTCATGTGGTATTGCAATTTTAGAGTAACAAATGTGGTATTGTAATGTCAGAATAGCACATGTGGTATTGTCAGAGATTAAAAAATGGATTACAAATTGTGGAACTGTTACCAAAATCAGTTTCATAATCCATCCCCTTTTCATACATTTTCACATTCATACATACATGTAGCTTTACTGTACAGGGTGTCCCGAACGTATGGCCCCCCCCTAGGCAGACATATTCCAGTGTCCTCATAGTATGTGTCATATATCATTTTAAACCATATCCAAAGTTACATTGATTTGCCAAGTATCATGGTTTAACTCCCAAATAGGAAAAAGTTACAGTTATTTCAAAAGTTAGTGTTTTGTCAAAATAAAGTTAAAATTTTCACCACATTACTAGTCAATGAGTCCCCCCTTGGCCATGTTAACAGCAGCAATTATTTTCAAATATAACCTTAAAAGCCCTTCCAAATAGGGGTGTGGAATTTTATAACCCTCTTAAAACCTGTTAAGGCACTTTAGAAGAGTTTCCTTAGAGTTTCTACCCTCACCGTTCTCTTTTTCCAACTAAATACCCATCCGACCCAAAAAGAATTGCTGCTGCTAAGATGGCCCGGGAGAACACATTGACTATTGATTTGGTGTAAAATTGAACTTAATTTTGACCAAACACTAAATTTTGAAATGTCTGTAATTTTTTCACATTTGAGAGTTCAACCATGATACTTGGTGAATCAATGTAACTTTGGATAAGCTTTAAAATGATATATGACACATACTATGACGACACTGGTATATGTCTGTCTAGGGGGGGGGGGGGGGGGCCATACTTTCGGGACACCCTGTACATCAGTTTTTCATAGGTCCAGTATAAGTCAGTCAATGTTATTATATTCATGCCTCATTGGATACTCTGGTATTGAATTAAATCCCCTCGCATAAATAATGGATTATATTGGTTTCCCATGACCTAGCAAACTGTCATGCATTCATTAGCTGTCAACACATACATACATTTACAAATGTTCCTTCATTAATGCATCGATTTTCTCAAAGATGGCAGATGGGTAAACAGAACTTTCAAAGATGGACAGGGCGAACTCCATAACATGGGATTTCCCATTGGATAATCCTTATCCCATGTAACTTTCATATTAACTTTTCAATCCATATGCCCTTATATGAAGTGAATGCTACCTTACAGTGTAATCTTATATTGCAAAAAAATATGAAAAATCATGGTCATCTTTTTCAGTAATAAGGTCAATATTATTGAAGGTAGCTTACTAATCCATGGCTAATCTCATTATTAAAATGGGATTTTTATTTTTTCATGCACATTTGTTGAAGTCAAGATATTGTTTTAATATAAAATGTTCATTGTATGGTCGGGAAATACCCGTGACCAAAAATACAGCTGTCCAAAATCTCTTGCCATCTTAATACTAGTCCTTTCTTGAGAAATTAGTACATATAGGCAACTGAATGATTTTATTGAGCGTCATAAAATTTTGTAACTTCAACAATTCGGTTTCAGAATTTTTTTCGACATTCATGGCTATTCTTACTTTTGTAGAGAACATCAGAAAAGCTTTAGAAAATGACAAGTACTTAATTGGACTGTTTCTTGATCTTTCTAAAGCATTTGATACTTTCAATCATGGTATTCTTTTAGAAAAAATGATTTTTTATGGAATAAGGGATAAATCCCTTAACTTCTTGCAGAGTTATTTAGAAAACAGAAAACAAAAAGGTTTTTATAACCATGTTTTCTCTGAAACAGAATCAGTGTCATATGGTATTCCACAAGGTTCTGTCCTTGGTCCTCTTTTGTCCATTATTTATGTAAATGGTATATACTTGGCAGTGACTACTCTAAACCCCGTTATTTTTGCAGATGATACGAATGTTTTAGCACATGATTCTTGTATTGACTCTCTTGTAGAGAATCTTAACCAGGAACTAGTTACTCTTGATGAATGGTTCAGATCAAATAAACTAAACTAAACAAGAAAATTCAGTGAAAAAATTCAGAATTTTTTCACTGGATTTTCTCGTTTTTTATACATTTTACAAAACAAATCTTCTCACAAGTCTATTCTAGGCACATAAGTGCACTTTTTTGCAAACCTGGAAGATGTAGACAATGTGGGGAAGGAGTAATTCTTGTTTGAAAAATGACATGTGACTCAATTGAGGAATGCAGACAATTTCCCAACATGCACCCTGGCCTTAACATTTACACCTTTTCTCGATGCAACTATACTCACTTACCTTTGAAATGCAGCTGGGAAACGGATGCTTCCCACTGGCGGGCGTTTCTTGGCTGTTGCCTCATCTGTTAAGGGCCCTATCCAGTAATATCTACCGTGTCTGTTATATATTATGGCTATGTGAATCCACTTGCTGATAGATGGCACTGATGTCGTTAAGAATATATGGTTGACATTCTGGTCTCTGTCTTTTACGACTGTTGTGTGGTATTTGTTACGAGATAGAGTGCGAATGAATGTCTCCTATAATAGAAAATTAATGGCTAGGGTGAGGTTGGACTTATTCTAGAATAGGAAACTACTGGTAAGAGCGCTGTAGAATTTCTCCATTAATGGGAAATCACTGTCTAGAGCGCTGTAGGATTTCTCTAATGGAAAATTATTGACTACAGCGCCAGTACAGGCTAGAACGCTGTAAGCCTTATAGAGCGTTAAAATTTCTCCTATAATAGAAAATTACTGACAAGAGCGCTAAGGAATTTTTCCTGTCATAGAAAATTACTGGGAAGAATGCTAAAGAATTTCTCTTACATTAATGAAGGGCATTTACAGTACAGTTTACGTACATACTGTTGTAAACAAAATTCAAACATAACTTAAACATTTCAAAAGCAGCTCACGTGTATTCTTACCAATTTAGTTCCAGCCAAATCGTCACGATTGATGCCATAGGAGACAATGGCTTTGTTGATGAGGTCCTCCTTCAGGTTATGTGTTGACACCATGCTGTTGTTGATTATGGTCGGGTCCAGAAGGATCAGAGAGATGTTATAGATGGCACTGAGTGATATGAATTGTAATTGGAGGTTCAATGTGGCGTTAAGGAGTGTGGTTTTATTGGGCGAGAACGATTCTGTTGTGGACGATATCTGCAAAAACAAAATAACTTACCATTAATGAATATTAATCACTTTTTTGTTGGAGAGAATCTTTAATCTTGAGTTTTTTTTTAAATTTGAATGGAGTAATTTCGAGACATTTGAATTTGGTTATCTATCAAATTTATATCCACATAAATGTAGATGCACTTCTAATATGAATTATTTTAAAGATCACCATGCCAGTTGTTTTATGACTGCATATCTATTTATTTTTGGAAACTGTAAACTGTTGATTTAATTTGTGTGTTGACCATGTATCAAGAGTGGTTGAATAGTGACGATCATTTGAGGCATCTTGGGTAGTTCTTTGCCGCTAACATCTGCCTACCTGGTTTGCATGTTTGTAATATTTGGACATTCTTGGTCCGACGATCTTAGTCCCAGTATTTTCTGTCTTCGACTGCAGGTATAGTACGATGGCTGCAATCATGAACAGCAGAAGGAGTTTCTTGTTTAGTCGTCGTGCTATATATCCATCCATCATACCAAGGCGCATTTTACCGAAACACGTATTGTTAAGGTGACTAGTGACTAGTGTTAGTAGTCTAGATCAACGAGTCATCACTGATCCGTATTAATTTTCCAAAGTAAAAAATGTAAAAATGAAATGGTGTTACGGTACCATAGTCCTCGTACTTGCTATTCACGGTAAGATATCCAGTGTCAAGTGACAAGTACAGTAGCTTGATCCTATGTTTTACAGCGTTTAAGTTTTTCCAAGCACAGTGGCTGTGTAATTCTATGGATTTAAAGTTATGTTAACAAGAAAAACATTTTGAGACCTAAAGGCGACCAAGTGCAGCGAACCGCTCTCTTTCGTTACGTGTTATTGTAAAAATACTGTATTGAAAGGCATCCTTGATTATTGGTTATAAGATGTTATCATATGTTTATGGGACATGCTGGTACATTAATATTAATCAATTGTCTTATTACACAATGTAAATGCTGGTTCGGGATCATCATCACTTGTAAAAACAATTAGCTTGTCTTTGAAAACCAATATATATGCGATATTTGACCCCCAACTATTGAAATGGTGCTCGAAAACAGGTAGCGAAAGCAAACGAGTTGAATTTGTCGATATTTCGTGTCTGTGATGAATCTATATATTACAGATGTTTGTAAGAAAATGAACCATGATGCAATCCAATCTAAATGTCTTTTTTATCTATTAAGTACCAGTATGTCAATGACCAAAGCGTTGGACAACGGGGGTCACCCAATATTGGAAACCATCTGCTTGGTGTATGATATATACTTTTTAAAAGACGTACATAAGGGTGATGTACTGGGAGGTTTTGGATATGGGGTTTATCTAGAGGGAGATATGCATATCTACCTGAGGGACCGTAGGGACCGAAGGTAGATGTGCATATCTCACGAGGGATGAGCCCAATATCCAAACCGACCGTACATAACTGCTTTATCCTATACCAAGTAGAGTTTCAGGTGCATATGGCCATTTCAATAGTACAAGGTGTAAAATAATCAAATCATTCTTATGCAAAGTCATTTTATTGCATTTCCACTACTTACCGGAAGCGGGAAGATATGCACCGAAGCGGGAGATATGGAGGTTCTGGATATGGAAACCTCAAAATCAGGATACGGGATATATCTTACCAACTTATCTCCCTAAAACTCTACTTGGCATAGGATAATAGTTGATATTCAACCAGATAAAAAATGTATGACGTGCACGGACCTGAGGACAATTCGGGAAGTGCGGGGTAATCTCAGCTTTAAGCGTTAATCTCTGCCTTATTTGAAAAGCTTACTATGTGTTTTTTATATCTATTTGAAGTATTTTTTATTCTCATTTCAGTGAAATTATATTTCCTTGAAAAGTTTGTTGGGATCTATCATATTTTAAAAATTAAACATTGTTAAATACGCTGGAAGGCGTAACACTTTACGCTTACACGGCTCGTTGAAATTGGGATAACTTTAAAAAAAATAATGATCAGAATTCAGATGAATTTAACAAAACGATTACATATACATTGAATGAGAATTATATTTTCAAGAATATACACAAGCCTACAACAATGCAATTATTATGAGCATGTGATTGTGAGGCTCTAAAAACAGCAAAATGCCAACATCGCAAATTCAACGATTTGTTGAAGTTTTGGATTTGAATGTTAATTTGGGGTCAATTGCTGAAACTTTTATTAAGTATATATTGTTCTTTTAGTCTAACATCATGATATCAAGGATCAACAAAAACAAGATGATGTTAAAAGAAAGTGAACTAAATGGAACAATTAATTTTAATCATTTTAAATGCAAAATATAGTCAGACAGGTGATCTTATTTTCAATTACACAGATAAAATCAATATGTCATGCTAATAACCTTCCCAAAAACCGATTCATAAGTAGATAATCTGTTGTAAACTTCAAAAATATCAAAATCTAATATTTTTCATTTTTTGTGGACCCCTGTTAAACCCATCAATAATAAGTAAATGGTAATGTTGACAAGTGCTCAACAAGTGAAAACGTATGCAGGAATATGTGTTTTATCATTTAAACTCATCAAAACGATTGGAGGATGAACAGGAGGAAACAGCTTAATTAAGGCTTATCTGAGAAATTCCATTATCACTTTAAAGCCTCCTGTTCAAAAGGTTAATAAGAGACAAGGTATGTCGACATCATGTACATAGATGAACCTCCACATATCTCCGATGGGTTCCCCCGACACGGTATTGTGCAACCTTCAGTCATAGAATTCAAATAGTCTCCACACAGACACCGGAATCCCTCGTACGCCCCTGCGTACTTGGAACCTGAAATAATTTAAGAAATAAAAACATCACACCGGAATACCCTGATAACGCTAATGTCAGATACCGTTGTCACAAATGGCGGACATAACCGTCGCTTCAACTCTTTAATCACTTGGTCCTTGTTTCATGGGACTTTATCGTCGCCAATTCTGTATATACATTGAGCTCTTGTGATGTTCAGGGTGGGCCAAAAAACCAATACCCAAGTTTAAAGATAAAGGTTTCAGGCCCGTAGACAGGGGGGTTCGATGGGTTCGAGTGACCCCCCCCCCCCACCAGGGGTGCCGTGAGCGACCAATAATCAAAAAATAGAAAATTCCCTTTCCCTCCATATTGCAGTCACAGCTGCACTCAATATGATTGACTTAATCATCATACATTTATGTACTGGATAAAGCATAAGAATGAGATTTTATAAGAAATAATACACCGAAGGCCGAAGGCCTGAGGTTATTATTTCTTATCAAATCGACTTAAATCACACACATTCTTATTACAGGTAAATAGTATATTGCAGGTAAATGGTCAATGATCTAATCTGGAAAATTTTATTTCTTTTGTGTTGACTGTTCATGTAGGGGTAAGTGGTTTGATACATGTAAGTGAGTGAGTTCTTTTGAGTTGAATGTTCATGTAGTTATATAGCCAATTAATTGTAACAACAAAAAGGGTTGGTTGCATTGACCTCATGAGTGTGAGTTGATGTAAGTGACTGAGTGAGCTATAATTAGTCTAGCTTCAGTGCACAACAGGTGACCGTCCAGTCCAGAACATTGCATTTGAATACAGCAGAATATTTGTAAGTAAGATAAGATCAATGATGTAGATAGCAACAAAAATTGATAAATTGTTTTATTCTAAAGAATGCACAGTAACCAGAAAAGGGTACATGTATTTTTGTATATTGTTTTTAGGGAATGAAAACTATCAAAAACTGTCAATGGTCATTTATGTCTCACTTGTTTTTGATAGCTTGCCAAGTGTACATTCTTTAAAAACAATAGAAAAATAATGCACTTTCCTTTTGATAAAACCATACATTCTTAAAAATAAACCACAGCAAATTCTATTGTGTTGCTACCCAAGTGGGATTTAATAAAGAGTAATGCACAATTGATAATTAATCAAAAAATATAGAAGTATTATTGCTGAATTTTGCACTATACTTGTAAAAATTTTCCTCCATTTCCCACAATTTGGAAATCCGCAGTGAATATTTCTTTGGTCACGCATGACACCCCTGGTGTCAGTTTTAGCCTCTAAATCCACAAGAAAACAACAGTTTTTCAATCAGATAGTGTCACATTGTTGGGAAATGATTTTAATCTTTAAAATGATATACAAAAGCATGGCATGGTTTAACGTTATATCATATGATATTCATCCTTAAACTTGGGTATCGGTTTTTTGGCCCACCCTGTACTTTTATCATAAGAAACCCCAATTTCTATCAAATGGGGTTGTGAATCGCCACAATACTGCGTCTTTAATATCGTCAATGACAACGGAATCTGAATTTGAAATAATTGACAAAGACAACGGCATGTGGTAAGATGTGACAACGGACTATGGTGGATGTATTGCATTGGAACATATGAAAATAACAATCTTTAAACTACATATACCGTTGTCAAATATGACCGTTGTCACTCCGATTTTACATCACATTTGACCCACACCTACTGTTGTCATTTATACAGTATCCGTTGTCCTGTGTCATATTTTGATCGGTAAGATTAAAGCCTTCGTTTCGATGGTAGAACATATTTAACTATATGATCAGTAGAAAAACACTTTGATTGATTGCAGTACCAAAGGAATTTAATCCAGTCGCTCTATTAAACTTACAGATCACGAATATCTCATTGAAGCGACGGTTATTTCCCACCATTTGTGACAACGGTATCTGACTTTACCGTTGTCAGGATATTCCGGCGTCCAAATGAATGTCACATTTAGTTCAAATTGATGTCACATTTGGTTTAAATTGATGTCATATTCCTATTTGGGGGGGGGGGGTATATACAGGAGAGGCTTGAGAAAATGCAATAACAAGGCAGTTCGGTTCTGGATGAAGATATTTATAACGAATGCTATATTCGATAATTATAATATGAACTGTTTTAATCAATTATCATTTAAGGATTTAAGCCCTGACTCAGTGCTATATATGCTGAATCATTCCATTGAAGGTGTTGTTTCCAAATATTGCATGATCACACAGCGGGAATGCAAAGTTTAGGACACCACCCCTGAGTGTTATGAACCAGCCACAATTCATTGTCTTGGGGTTAAATTCTTTTCCCACATTACAAAATATTTTCTACAAAATCACCTAAATCGCTAAAATGACATATTTTAAATGTTTTTTTTGCAGGGGTAAAGTTGGCAAAGCATCAATTTCAATCTGTGAGTCTAGTTATCACTTTGACAAATGCTTTATTGGTTATTTAACGGAATGAAGTTACGTGAAATATCAAGTTCTGATTGGCTGGAATTGGACACACTTTGCCTAGCTATGTGTGAATTATCAATCACATCATTTACCATTAACTTTGCACTCAAGGTCGCCTTGGTACAAAACACCATGTAAAATTATCAACAATTACATTACCCATTGGACCGTTGAAAGGATATATCATTTTGATGTTTTGATTGATGATGTCACGACAGCCCTACCATAGGAAGTGTAATAGAAAAGATATAATCATTGATTCAGTCATACTCGAATCTCTTGGAAAAGCATAACGCATTACTAATTTCCATATGTACATGTACATGTATATATTGGATTTCTTAATAACTGCAATAGACTAGGTGCGAGTAGAAATAATCTTGATTTACGTCATTAAAACTTAAAAATTCAATCAAACTGATGTCATATTTGGAATCTACATGTAAAACTACGTCTAGAAATTTGGTTTTGAAGAGTTTATCAACCTTGAAAATTTGATTTTCTTTGAAAATGTTATTTTTATGTTTCTTTTACTGGACATATTTTAATTTGTATAACTATCAAATACATAAGGATAACATGAAAAGTGAACCACTAAAACTGATGAATATTCAAGTCTAAGGGAACTTTATAATGTCCTGTCATGTTATTTCTCCCGAATTAGCCACCTGGTGGCGAAACTGGTAACTACATACTCGCATCTGAGTAATTAAGTATACGATCTTGCATGCTCTCCTATAACTGACTATTTCATTGGATAATTTTAACTTAGAATACCAGGCCTATAGTTTGCATTGAAATGGGTCTTAATATAAACAAGGAATGTACAGAAGGATTAGATGGGCCA